TTTTTTTTTTTTTTTTTTTTTTTTTTTTTTTTTTTTTTTTTTTTTTGGTACCAGGGATCAAACTCAGGACCTTATGATTGCGAGACTGGTGGCAGCACCACCGAGCAGAAAAATTTTTCAATTTAGGTTCAAGTCTCAAGAATACAGAATAACAACATCCCTTTTTTATACTATTGTTTTTATACCTGGCTCACTCTACTTAAAACTCCCATTCCCTATCTAACCTCCCCCACATATTTCTTGAAAAATATTAAGACTAAATGGAGCTTTGATCCCTATGTAGTTTTACATTTTCTGCCTACCTCAAAATGAATTTTTAAAAAGTAAATGACATAAACTATTTTACCAATAATTTTGTGTTTTCACCACTACTATTTCCAGAGATAACCATATTTTCCTGATGAGATCAGTTTAAAAAACAAAAATAAGTGAAACTGTTGCCGGATGTCACCGGGAATCACAGGCATAATCAGATAACTTATGCAGAAGGTACTGCACTGGTGGCAGGGCTGAAGAACTTGACCAGTTTGTTCATCAGGAAGACAGGAGCTATGTCTGACACTGTCCATGATGCATTTATTTCATTTAATCATCTTTTAAACAATGTTTGCTTAGTTGCAGCTCCTTTGTGCTTCTTATCTTCTCTAAAATAGTCAGGAACACTCTTGTCATTTTCAAGATCACAGGCAAATGCTACTCTTGTTTTGTTTGAAAAAAGGTATGAGTGATACAAGAGAAGCCTGACAGAAAAATAAGTATTTGGCGCTTGCCAGAAATAATCATGAGCTTTCAGCTGGGAAGAGCAGAAAGACTGGAAAGCCTAGTATGTCTGTTTAATCTTTATACTCCAGGATGTCCTTGCTACTCAAACTAAAAAACCTGTAGGTATCAGCATATTTAACATCTTACTAAGTGAACTTGATATCATCTCAGATCTGATCATCTCAAGTTATAATACATTCTGGAAATTTGCTCTAGATCCAGGAAAACTCAAACCTGTCAAGTGCCTGGATTATTCTTTACTTTTCTGTAAATCTTCACACTTCCTACGAATGCTCTGTTTCCCTCAGAAATGCAGCACCTGAGACGTAACGTTAAAAAGTCTGTGTCAGGGCCAGGGATTTAACTCAGTGGTTCCAACGCCTGGATCCGAATTCCATCCCTACCACCCCCCCAAAAAAAGCCTTGTTAGTTTCATAGTGGCAAACAAATAAGGATCTCAAGAAGCTAAATATCAGAAAATGTTTAGATTTGTTACATGAAAGTTGCAAAAAGGACATGATGTTACATATGTGTTATTTCAATTTCATTAAAATATAATTGCACAGAAAAAATTGAAACAATATATGCCAAAAATTAATCAGAATTATCTCTATGTGGTAATATGATAAGTGATTCTTATTTTCTTTTTTTAAAGGTCTATATTTTAAACTTTTCTGTGATGGGAAAATGCTAGTGTTGAAAAATAATTTTTCAAAATGTTACTTGAAAGAAAGGGGGAAGCAGTATGAAAGGGTGAAATGAGAAAAAACATTGACCAAAGGGAAAAATATGATTGCCCTAAGTTTGTGTTTATTAATTTATGAAAGAAGTTACTCCGTTTTGGTGATTCAGGCAATTTAGACTGGGTGCAGTAGATTTGGGCAGGGGAGCCTGCACTGGAGACAAAGCAGCTCTCACAGGATCAAGTCAGGCACTACCTGTGTGTGATACATTGTACCAGGCCCATTAGAAAATAAACCCTAATGAAAATGGCTTCCTTTTTCATGTAATAGAGACACTGAACGTGTACACAAACATGATGAAACATGCACGGAAAACTACATTTGAGATTTCAACGGCATTTCCTTCATGCTAAAGACATCCTGAAGAAAATTGTACTTAAATTCTGTTTGTGTGGGTAGGATTTTGACATTCAAGGAAATGAGGAAATATTTTGGTTTAAAATTAGACAACAAAAGAGTAAGAATTCACAAACACTACCAATGCTGGCTTCAGAAGAGCAGAGCAGAAAGGACATGCAGACCTTGAACACAATTATTCAGTATTCACAGTTGGCATGTCTTACAACAACAAATGCCATCCTTATTTATTCATTAAGCTTCTTATACTATTCTCAAAGTCTATTTGTTATCTTTCCACTTTGAGAGATATCTTGTGATTTCTTGCATTTGCAAGCAGTTGTGTGATAAAGATAACATTTTGTCCTATTCCTGGGAATTTAGAACTGTGCTCTATTTTAGGTCCTCTCACTAACTCACTGCACTAAGCAAATACCTAATTTGTCTTAATTTTTATTGTCTCAGAATTAAAATAGGAGTTAGAATCAAGGCTTGTTCAAAAAGCAGAAGGCAGACCAATGGAGTGTTTCACCGGACTCCTTAAAAATGACAAAAGCTATCAGTGTGGGAAGGACAGGGCATAAAGTGGTAGAAAACCCAAATCTATGACCCAGGGATCCAGAGGCAAAGCAGAGAGCAGCCAAATGGCTACATGGCAAGCACTTGGCTCCTCGTCTGCAGTGCACATCTTGGGGACGGATACTGCACCACTTGCCAACAAATTGTATTT